ATGGAGGTTAAAGTGGCTGGATCCCACATGGCCAACTCTGTAGTTCGAGTCCTGGACCTGGCAGCTTGAAAATCATGCCAGGCACATGTGCCCAAAATGCTGAGAGGAGAAAGGAGGAGAAGGGATTGCAGTGTGGCCATCCCTCTGGGTGGTGATTTCTCACTTTCCCTCCCTCCCTCTCTTTCGCTCTCTCTCTGTCTCTGTCTCTCCCCAGTAAATGAATGCACCCCATAGGGAAAAAAAAAAAAAAAAAAAAAAAACAAAGACATACACACAATAGAAAACAGGGTAGCAATGTATTATATACCAAGTAGATTTGGGGCGATAACAGGAATAGTAGAGGTTATGGCAGTGGAATGCTGTCATGCCAGAGTGAGGGAAGGCCTGGGTAATCAGAACTTCCCACTTCCCAGAGAAACCCAAAAGCTTCAGTTTTTGGGTGTGTGTGAAAACTCCTCATTATCTAAATAATGTCAACAACCACTTCTCAATTTCAAAACCTGGGGGGAGGGGCAGGCATCTCTGTAATGACAAACAAAATGTGTCTGCTGGGCAAATGTGGCCAAATGCCTGTTTGTGGCCTCTGAGTTTTATACATATCCTACTGTTGAGCCGAATAAGAAGGTCTGAGGGTCCTATCAGCTGAGTTCTCCCCCAAAGACTTCCCTAATGGCTGCTGATCCGGATATACCCTGACACTCTCATGCATGCCAAGATTTTCCAGAGCTTTCCATGCACCTTCATGTGTAGACACTGTAAATAATTCTTCTCTTGAAAAGTTAACTAGGCCTTGAACTCATTCAACAGGATTGCCATCTGGGAGTCCTCAGAAACAGTGAATTGTCAGCACAGTAAACATTTTAGGCTTCAGGGAGGACACTGACTTTTTCTAAACTAATCACCCCTGCCAGTCAAGATTTGCGGTAGGGTTCAAGAACAAGGCGTTCATTTCACAACAATAACAAAAACAGTGAGGATGAAAACCGGACAGTCATCATAATGAAAGGCCTAAAAGCAAACTGTGACTTCCCTAATAAGGCGACGGCCAAAGTTGGCTCCCTGGCGGTAGAGCGCCAATACAATTAATCAGTCTGTTTTCAGTTTTCTCACGACAGCAATATTAACAGTTTGCCTTACTCTGTTTATATGGCGCTGACAGGTCTTCAGCATGTTGGGCCTACTTGCTGGAGATTAATGGCTACTCTTACACTGAGGTAAAAACCAGGCAGGCAGAGAGGGCCTTTTACAACTAGATAAGAGCTGAATTCTCTTGCCTTTTCTTTTTCTTTTCTCCTTAGTTCCCCTATTGCCCATTAACTCCTCCCTTTTCTCATTCCTATCGGATAAGATAGGCAGGTTTGCCTCACTGTTTAAACTCCCCCTACTTTCAATGTTATATCGTCAGGTAAAACAGAGACTTAATATTGTTTTGGAATATGTTTATCATCTCTAAAAATATTGTCCACTAATCTTGTTTTAAAAAAGTCAGATTCCATATAAAAGATAGGTATGAGGTAGCTGGCAACAGACATTTTAGCACATTATGTGGCAAACATCTTTGTATTCGTGGTTATTTTTGTAGACACCACCAAAGGCAGAGTTGATATTAAGTGTGGCCTGGCTGCAGGAAGTATGGACACTCCAAAAAATTACTTAAGAGATTATTTCACAAAATAGTCTTATTTCAAAATAAATCAACAAGTTTTGAAATGATACAAGACCATAACCTCACCTCTATAAATAACCCCACCTGCCCACCCAAAAGCTGTAAGAATACTGCTTGTTACTGGTATTCTTTTTTTCTACCTCAGCTTAGAGGAATAGAGTAACCACGAACACTACTTTAACAGCACATAAATATACAGACTCTAAAATAACAAAATAATTTTTAAAATCAATGTGCTTCCCCTGAGGTTCTGTGGGAATTAATGTCTCATTGTTTGCTCTTAGGGAAACTGCTTCATCTGTTTTATAAAATAACCACATGGATAATTATGCATGTATAGTGAGGACCTGCAGGCCATAGGCCCAGCTTACTTTCCAGCCCATTGCTCCTTGCTCACTACTCTACCAACAAAGAAGCAAGAGAACAGGATTGATTCCAGGAGAAAGGACATGAGGGAGTGGCTTTTAAGTGAGACATTTTATGAAAGCATTTTAAAGCCAGCATTTTATAGCCAGTCCCATAGTGTAGTGGTTAAAGGAGTTGGTTCCCACCTGGCTGACTGCAGTTCGAATCCTGGTACCAACAGCTGAAAAACATACCAGGAATGTGCGTATGCATGCTCCAAATCCCTGCAGGATGCATAAATGGGGGACAAGGGATTATGTGACCATGCCCCACTGGAGGCTATTTTCTTCCTCTCTCTTTCTCTGGCAAGCACATGTGCCCTTTGGCCACAAATAATAGATAGACAGATATAAGACTAGTCTAGGAAGAAAACAGTATTGTTAACAATCATGGCATTTACGGAGTGCTTACTGTGTATACTCACTATTTTAAACACATTTACTTCTCATAGCAGACTGCATTGAGGAAAGAGTAAACTAATAATTTTTTTCTTGAAATACAGGAGAGAGAGAGTAGAGCAATATACTGAGTCCAGTTAGGAGACCTTGACTTCCATACTTGCATGCCAGTAATTTTGTCTACTACGAAGGTTAGATTGGAGAGGGAAGAAAGTGAGGTTAGAGAGACTAGTTAGAAAGATACTGCAATAGTTCTGAGCTTCTCAACCAGGTGGTGTGCTTGGAAGTGAAAAGGACAGGAAAGATTTTACAGCTACCTCAGAAACAGAACCAACTAAATTTATTTTACTTACTTGATTTGTTCATTCAATCACTAATCAACAACTATTGTTGAGGGTACTGGATAGGTCAGACACTACAACAAGTGTCAGGCATAGGGAAATAAGAAAAAGGAAGAATTTGAAGCTGACTTCTTCCCCCACAATGGGATACTAGCTGTTGCACAGTAGTCCAAGGAAATACTAAATATATATCCTTCTCTCCATCCATCCATTCAATACTTACTGAGTACCAGCCTTGTGCTAGGCATTGCATTATATAATGCTCATAAGCAAGTCCAGTAAATAAAAAGGAAGGGAAAGGGGACCAGCAGATGGTGTAATAGTTACATCACTGGACTCCCATGTAGTCAACTTGAATTCGAGTTCCATACCCAGTAGCTTAAAACTCACACTGGGTGTGTGTGCGTGCGTGCCCAAAATCCTGAGAGAAGAATGGAGAAGGGATTGTGGTGTTGTCATCCTCCCTGAGGGGTAATTTCTCACTTTCTGTATCTCTGCTTCTCCAGTGAGTGCACGGGCCCAATAGCAAAAATCTCTTTAAAAAATAAATAAAGAAATGAATAGAAAGTTAAAAAAAGAAGAAGAAGAAGAAGAAAAAGGGGGAAAAAAGGACTCTGTCTTCATTTGCATGCCTTTGGGAGTGCTTTCATTCTCCATCTTCCATTTCTCTCCTGGTGGTCTGGCCATAAAGAACAGTACATGGTGGTAAACCACCAGACTGTTGGAATAGAGCAGGGATTCTTAGTCATCCATATGAGGAGAGGACCTCCTCTTTAATTTCTAAATGTGTGCCCTGATTTAGTATGTTTTAACCAAAGCAAAACATACCAGAAAGGTATCTAACATGATTCCCATAGATAGACTTTAATGTCATCTAAAAATATAGGCACCAAAAAAAAAAAAAAAAAAGTTAAAAGGTAGCAAAAATAATGGCACAATCATGCCTTGAATATTACAATTCTTTATCTAGTTTATTAAATTAGTTTGCCTTCCAGGGAAAGCTCTGATGTTTTACAATTAAGATCTGCCCAGGTTTTATAAGAATAAATCCTAATGACTTTCTAGTGCTTTCTAAAAAAGCAACTAGTTACAGAATGACTACCACTGAGAAGTATTTTGCTTTATAGCAGCTGCCTTTTCATTATTATTTTATGAGAGCTTGTCTAGATACAATGTATCCCTCACTATGTACATTTAATTTTTTTTTAAAAAAATGTCTTCTTCAGATGCCTGGGGTTATGTCAGTTCCTTTGGCTCTAATTGGATCTCAAATTGTAAATTCTATCACTTTAATACCTTTCACAGGTCCTCATGCAGGTAGGCTTACTCCAAAAGCATTTAACACAACTAACACATGCTGCTGGTTCTTTTACTAAACAGCAACACCACCACCACAAATCAAAAGTATTTCAGGGACTTACGAGCTGCATCAACAATTATTTCAAGTATAAGCCAGTCTGCATATGCCGAGGGTAAGAATTTAAATATCTATAAAGTCTAACTGTAAAAGAAGGAATTTTACGAGTGCAGGCACATTTTAACTACAATTTTATTTTGACAACCTGAACCTGGTTTGGACTTGTGTGCTCTATGACCTGTGAGCAAACGGAACTAGAGAAAAGCGGCCCGCACCAGTGCTTCAATGAGAAGGCAGAACGGAGGGCCTGTGCAGCTTAATTCCAGCTGCCTGCAGTTATCAGGTTTGAGATTTTGTTTCCGCATAGAACATAAGATTTAAATAGCCATTTGCTTACTGAAATGTTCCTTTAGTTATGACATGCTTAAAACATGCTTATTTTTACTGCCAATAAATTGACATCAGGGAAAATGTAAAACAGTACATACGTGATTGATAAAGACGCTTCATGATCAGTATCTCAAGTAAACTATCAGTAAGAGAAGTCTTCACTGCCTTGGGCACTCAAATCCACGGACTGAAAGCCTTCCATTACACTGAGAAGTTATTTTGTTTTTGCGAGGATGAACCAGAGGACTGACCAAAGAGAGCATCTCCGCGGGGGAAAAAAAAAAATCAAAGCTGAGCCCAGGGGGAGGCGGGGATGGAGAGGCCTAGGGAGAGCCACAGAATTAGAGTGGGTCCACATGGAAAAGGCTCTTGTTGATCATCTGTCCACCCTCGCTGGGCGGAAAAGCAAAACGAACTGGAGCCCACTGACATTTCTGACTCACCTGCGGCGCAGATCCTCGGCCACCGCCGCCCGGCAGCTGAACAAATAGGCTCGCAGCGACCTGAGCCGCTGCCGCAGTCGCGCCACGGTGGCCAGCGGCTCGGCGTGGTGATACAGCATGGGGTTCTCCTGCTGGATGTCGATCAGGGGCTCCTCATAAACGTACTCCAGAAACTCCTTGGCCTGCTTAGACACCTGCAAGACAAGCTTCCTCGTCAGTTCTCAAGTCATCCGCTTTCCACACCTGTCTAAACTGCGCCAGAGCCTAACTACCCAAGTAACATTTTCTGAATACAGGCAAATGGAAAACCCACAGTGGAACTAAATATAAAATGTGGCTTTTCTTTCTTCCAGAAGTGCAACTGGTAAAACTAATCTTGGAAAGAATACATTAATTCTGTATCGACTGCGGTGGTGATCTAGACACATGATAAAATGACACAGCCATACTGAACCAGCACACGAATGTCAACTCCCTGGCTTGTTTGTTGACATTATACTGCGGTTTCCCAAGATGTAACCAATAGAAGAGACTGGGCGAAAACCACACAGGACCTTTCTGTACTGTTGGAAATTTCTTGTGAATTTATAATTACTCAATACTATTAAAAAAATTCATTACAACCTTTCACACAGCAATGCTGATTTTTAAAAATACATAATTATGTGTGTGTGTGTGTGTGTGTGTGTGTGTGTGTGTATTCCATAAAACTTTAAATAGTAGCCACTTTTTTAAAATAGGCAAACCAAGGGCCAGTAGATGGCATAGTGGTTAAGGCACTAGATACCATAAGGCCAACTCCATGGTTTGAGTCCCAGACCTGGTGGCTTGAGAAACATGCCAGGCACCTATGTGTACATGCTAAAATCCTGAGATGAGAATAGAGGAGAAGAGATTGTGGCCTGACCATTCCTACCTCCCCGGGGAAGGGGGGGGCTGCTTTCTCACTCCTGTCCCCATCTCTCTCCAGCAAATGCATATACCCTTTTGCAAATTAAAAAAACAAACAAACAAACAAAAAACACACAAATTTCTTGTACATATACATAAAATTCAACATTAGCATTTTTTCATGTTGTAAAGCTCATGCCAAAGTTTATGTTGCTATGCAAAAAATACACCATTTAAAAAAAAATAAAAATCGTACTTTTTTTTTTCTTAAAAGCAATTATTTCTCTGGAACCTGTTGTGCTATGTCATCCTATGGTATCCTGCAGAGTCTCAGGGTTACAGAGTTCAAGAAGTTTACAGTCTCTGCCAATCTAGGACCACAAAGAGGCACCTCAGACTAGCCAAAACCTTGGCTATTTAACTAGATTGGAAATAAGTTATTCTGAGGAGAAAGCTAAATAACCCTCCCTCTTATTTTTCAGGCACACGGGCCCAGGTCCATGTCTGATACTATAGCAGAAATTAGGAGGACAATAAAACAGGCATGGCCCTGTCCTCAGGTAGTTCACAGTTCAGAAGGAAAAGACAGCACTGAATTAAAATATTCACCTAGCATGCTTAAATCTGTGCGCTAAAAATGTCTTGAATGGCCCTCTGGGAAATAAAGCACAACCCACTTGAAACTGTTGCTAAAAAATGATGTATTGTACAATTCAATTAGTCTTTCTGACTCTACTGAGCAGTGTTTATACTGAGTCAGGGCCCTGCTGAATTAGGTTAACAATGCTACCTTTTAGTAGGTGAACAGGATAAAGGGCACTGGCCAGTCTCCCAGGCTTTAAAAGGCCTCTCTCTTTAGGTGGTACTTAAGCCCAAAAGGGGAAAAAACCAATCTTTTACATAGACAGTAAAAGCAGGGAGACAGATGAGACTGACATCAGTATTCATAAGCTGAAATTATGAAAAACAAAAACAGTGATTTTGGTATTAACTGGTGTGGAACTGATAGAGCACACCTTGGAGCTGCTACTTGAGGATGTGGACAGTCTCCACCGTGTCGAGCCAATCTGGGCAGCAAAGCTAAGCACATGCTCTAGTGTTTGAGAATCAACCACTAACGCCAGTGAGGGAATTTTTGAGAGAACTCAAAATTTGGCATGAAATGCTATTTTTGTAAAATAGAGCATTGTGTCCCCACTGACTTCCTAAATTCTAAATGACCCTGCACACTGGCATGAGGATCCCACTCTTGAACTCAACGATAATTAAAAAGTACTTTAAAACATAAAATATAAAAAAAAAAAAAGAAAAGAAAAGTTACTTTTTTTTTTTTTTCTTTATTTTTTCTTTTCTTTTTTTTTACTTTTATCTACATTTATTTTATGCTGACTTTATTCCCACACCGTAAGTTTTCGTTTCTTCAGTTTCTTCTGGGATATCTTTTTCTTCTGTGCAACTTCCTCTTCCGGTTTAGGAGAATTTGGCTCCTTTTCAGTGAGGATCATCTCCATGTGGCAGGGGGAGCTCATGTATGGGTTAACCCGCCCATGAGTTCTGTATGTATGACGGCGCATCTCAGGTGCTTTGTTCACCAGAATGTGCTCAATGACTAGAGAATCTACATCCAACCCCTTAAGTCTAGTATTACTCTCTGCATTTTTAAGCATGTGCAGCAAAAATTCAGCACTCTTTTTGGGCCACCGACCTTGTGTCCAGCCCCACTATTTACCCTGGGCACATCTACCAACTCCACCATTGTAACGAAGGAATGGCACACACTGCTTCTGTAAAGTGACATCCTTCAGACACTTGGTGGCTTTTTGGATAGGCATACCCTTGATGGCCTGGACAGTTTCACAAGTGTTCTTAAAGTGAACATGAAGATTTGAACCTCTTGATTTGCAATGCCTTTGTGGGGTTCTCTGGGTCAAGTGAATAGTGAACCATTTTCAAAGATCACCTCGGGCAGCTTATGAGAAGAGGAGAGCCAGTGATATTCTTAGGTGATACAGTTTACATGAAAGAAAGTTTATTTTTAAAATAGAAATAGTGTATGAGTTTATATGAATACTAGATCTGTTCCAACTAAGAACTAGAAGCTACTGTCCTCCTCCTTGTGAACTAAATTATGAAAAACATGACAAGTCTGAGTGCTGTTTCTGATAGCAGTAAAAATTCAGCTCATAGTCAGGTCCACAGCAATAAGTCCAACAGACTGCTTTTTGTTTTCTTTCTTAATGAATTATTTTGGCTGGCACTCTT